ACCGGTTATCTTGCACCTGGATGTCTGTGCGGCTGTATAACGCACCACCTTCATTCCAACTGGTGCCCCTCCTCCTGTATGCCGGAAGGGGCCAAAGCCTGGCCAATGAGTCCAAGTGTTAGGCTGTAGCGTAGGGATCATTTTTGCTAATACCGATCTGCGAGTTTAGTGCAAAAATACATGATCAAACCGAAGAGCATGGTGCGTTTCAGCCTGGGTTTACGAAATTGGGCTCAAAAACATTTAGTGTTCTGGCCGGGAAGTGTGGAATATTAAACTTGCTAGTAATCACAGCTAGCTTTCGCTTAGCAATGAATGGTACCTGCAAAAAAGTAAACGAGTTCCAAAAAGGTAATGCGTATACAGTGAAGAACCAACTGGAGGAGCTATGCAACTCAGAGCCGAGGGTCCGGGTTTGGTTGGTTTTTAGTGCTCCTCAAACAGCTGAGCTTGAAGATAATTTTACACATATATTTTTAAGCTCATTCTTTTGGATTTAAATGGCCCACTCCTCGTCAGAGTGAATGAAGAGTTCTTGATTAATTTTTAAAGTCGTTTTGGGTCCAGTAAAATTTTGTGGATATTTCCAGAATTATGATGTATCGGCCCCATGTTTAGCCGACATCGCGCATTTTTTGTGGACGGCCGTGGATTACATTCGCTATATCGAGCGAAGCAGCCACTGCACCAACTGTACATGCGAGTCCGAGCTGCGCAGTCGTCAGCAGTATCAATGGGTTTTCAATGGTGCCTAGTTTGCTATATCATCTTGAAAAGGAATCAGATTAGAAAGGCGGACTTGGCATGACCGGCTCAGAAGGTGGATATATGTCAGCAACGCCACTAGCATCGGATCTCTACGCCGACTGTTATCAAGAGCCAATGACAACTAGAAATCGTGTTTTTTTTTTTTTTCAAGAATGCAAGACCGATGTGATGCGGAACTAAAAGTTTTCTCAAGCAATGCTGCCTGGATAATTGGCACGCAGATCCCTTGACTTTTCTCTTGAATCCGTTGCTCCGGTTCAAAAAGCCTTTATTTTAATTTTTTCTTAAGACAGAAGCTTTGTTCATCGATCGAGGGGTAATACCAATTGCTTGCAATCTACCAACAACTTGTAGGATAATAGTGCAGATTACCTCTCGCGCAGATTACTGCAGGAACAAACTAAAAGCGGTCCGAGTCCCCAGGATCTTGGGATTTGGGTGGCGGAGTGCGGAGGCGCTTTATTCATTTGTGTAGGTTCACTGTAACAGTTTGGTCGAAGATTATTTCAGTGTTATGCCTCATTTACTGCTTTTCAGTGCTGGACGCAATGGGCAAAGTACCTGCCGGTATCTTAAGCGGTAACAATCTTTGGATCGGTTCCTGGAGTGCATGTCGGCGTATATCAGTTATCAAAAATCGACAGCAGTACGTGTTTTGGCCGTCACCGTCTTGAATCATTCAAAATCGAAAAGCCTTGAACTTAAAATTTAGCCTAAATTTAGATAAATAGTAGCTCACACCAGCAGGCTAATGCGTGTTTTTTTTTTTTT